ACACATCAGAGCTAAGCTAACACATCAAAGTTTGATGTTTTGTTGTTTCACAGTGTATTTTGTGAGTCTCAGATCGTGTATTCAGTTTGTTTCAGAGGGTGTATTCTGTGTGTTTCAGACGGTTCATTTTTTGTGTTTCAGAATGTGTATTCTGTGTGTTTAAGTGTGTGTATTTTGTGTGTTTCAGAGGGGTTAAGTCTCAGGAGCTGGACACGCCTGCCATAGAGAAGCGTTTCGCCTACACCTTCCTGCAGCAGCTCATCACATACGTTGACCAGGCTCACCAACACATGATGGAGTTTGGTGAGAAATACAATAATTACTGTTCATGATGCATCCTGTCTGTGACTCAACCTGGACGCACGTGATGGGAGTGGCTAACATTGGCTAATGCTAATGCTTCAGCAGTTGGTATGAGGAACAAGTTATTGTTTTCCATTATCAGCAGTAGCTTCTATATGATGAATTAATGAATGAAACCTTTATTGCCCCTAGGGGTATTTGCCTTGCACAGAGAGAATAAAAAACACAATACAAACAAACTCTTACAGGACAGCACAGAAAGAACACATAAAACACACTAAAGCATCACATGATTCAATGAGGGATTTCAGCAAGTTAAATAAAGTGCAGAGTGCCAAATTCGTCCTGTATAATCAGCTCTTATTAAGCACCTAAATACTGTGCGGTACAAAGGATGTAATGCCTCTTTTAGTCCTCATTCTAGGCATTCTGTACCTGCGCCCTGAATTCAAGAGTGATATGAGGTCAAAGTATGATATATAAATCTGCAGGTATTCTCTGTGAATTAAAAGTTAATGAATCAAAAGATGTATCCAGAGACCAGTGTGAACCTCTGCAATACTCTGTCTGCTCTGTAGGACTCTGACTTCTCTGTTGGACTCTGACTGACTCCACAGATTCACATTTAACAAATCAGATGATAATAAATAACTACTGAAACATGAATGTGTATGTGACTGTGTTCTTCCTTTTGTTCAGATTTGGGAACTCGACTGAAAGGAGACAAGATTCCTCATGAACAGCAGATTAAATTCTTTGGAAAGGTCAGAAAATAACATTTAATTATATTTATCAGCCTGTTTAGCTCTTAACTGTTCGCGCCTAATGGTTAGCTGTTAACCATTTGCTAATAGCTCTTAACTGTAAGTGCATAGCTGTTAGCTGTGAACTGTTAGCCTTTAGCTATTAGCTCCCCATAACAAAGTTTTACCATGGTATACCATATTACGTACCATGGTAAACTATGGTACGTACTATGGTATCTCAGTAATTACTATGGTATACCATGGTACATACCATAGTACCTGGGTAATTACTATGGTATACCACGGTACATACATAGTACCTGGGTAATTACTATGGTATACCATAGTACATAGCATAGTACCTGGGTAATTACTATGGTATACTATAGTACCTCGCATATTACTATGGTACATATCACATTATCTAACTGCAGTACTCCAGTTATTACTATGGTTCCTCAGATCAATCAATCAATCAATCAATCTTTATTTGTATAGTGTCAACTCATAATAGCTAGGCTACTACCAAATAATTTTAATCACTTAGGTCCCATGGTACCTGTGTGATCCACACCACAGTACATTGAAGGTTGCCATGGCAGTACCAATGTAGCTCACTCTGAAAGGAAATTGTGACACACCAGGCAGAATCAGGAGAGGAGAGACTCTTTGGAGTTGGGAGCTGCTGTGCTTCTCAGTCAGGGATTGTCTTTTGTGTTTTGTCATATTAGTTTCTCAGATGATCTTTGTTATCATTTAGTTTGTGTAATAGTAATAAAGTTTGACGCTCCCAAAAATCCCTCTTCTGTATTCGCATCCAAAAATCCACAGGACCAAAAAGAAAAAAAGAAGGAAAAAGAGGAAAAAAAAGAAGAAAGGGAGAGATTAAACAAAAGTGAGAGGAAAATACAAATAAAAAAATAGATAAATGGTGAGGTTGAAAACTGGGGTTGATTTAATAGTTTTATTATTTGTATTATATTTAAATTAATTACAAAATAAATTGAGTTACTGTATTGTGTATTTGCCTCTGTCCATTATTTCATCAAATTGTTTTTTGTCAAAGTATAAACTGTGGGATGTATGGTTCAAATATTTTGACAAAAATGTCCCATGGAATTTTGGATAATAGTATGGTATATGAACTGATATATTTGGCTGTACTATGGTACTTTTACCTTAGGACCTTAAATTTGCATGCGTGCGTGTCTGTGTGTGTCTGTGTGTGTGTTTAAACCGTCAGGTGGTCTTGCCGTTGGTGGATCAGTACTTCAAATACCATAGGCTCTACTTCCTGTCCACAGCCATCCATCCAATAAGCAGTGGAGGCCACGCCTCCAACAAGGAGAAAGAGATGGTGACCAGGTGAGACCAAGTAAAGACACCTGTATGTTTTTGTGTTCTTGTTTAAATGATCAGTAACTGTATCACTGAGCTCAGGTGGTAACAGTCATCAGAGTGAGTCGTCTCTTTCTTCTTCTGCTGCTCCCTCCTTCTGTTTCAAACCTCTGATCGTCTTGTCTCTTCCTCTGATTCCCTCTCTAAATTTCCACCTTCAACCTTTTCAGTCTTTTCTGCAAACTGGGAGTTCTGGTCAGACACAGGATATCTTTATTTGGTAAGGATGTTCATGCTTAATCTCCTCTTCTCTGCTGTTGATCTGTGTTTGTGTGTGCAGCATGATGGATTAACTGCTCGTATCATCGTGGAGGAACTCTGAGGGTCTGATTCACTGAAGGATTGTGCAGCTGATGTTCCTTCTCTAGCTGCAAATGAGTCAATGACTTCGTCTGATTCACAAAAACACACAAAGGGTTAACTATTCCTCTAAATGCACTGCAGAGCAAACTGGGTCTCTGTGCGTCGGTGCAGGTTGTATTTAAATGTATTTAATCTCCTTTGTTAAAAGACTCTATCTTACAAACAAGGGGGCGCTAACAGCCAAGCACGGTGAGAGTGAAAAATGTTTGTCTTCTGAGAGTTGGTGGTAACTGTGCCGCAGTATTTACAGATGTCACGTTTAAACTTTTCAGTGACCAGGAGAGCAATTCCACTTCTGTATGTCTTCAAAATAAAAGCGTGAGAGTGCAGCTCCGTCAGTGTGAGAGTGCAGCTCCGTCAGTGTGAGAGTGCAGCTCCATCAGTGTGAGAGTGCAGCTCCGTCATTGTGAGAGTGCAGCTCCGTCAGCGTGAAAGTGCAGCTCCGTCATTGTGAGAATGCAGCTCTGTCAGTGTGAGAGTGCAGCTCTGTCAGTGTGAGAGTGCAGCTCCGTCAGTGTGAGAGTGCAGCTCCGTCAGTGTGAGAGTGCAGCTCTGTCAGTGTGAGAAAGCCTGATAGTTATCTGCTTTGAGAGTTAGACTCAGAGACGGAGCAGATAGAGGGAGAACATGATGAAGGATTAATGGAGACATTAGAGACTGTTATCATTCTTAGTGAATCAGACCCTGAGACTCTCTCTGACCTCTCAGCTGCTCTCCTGTCTGGTTTCAGTCTCACAGTTGTGTTCACGTCTAAACGATCTGCTGCTGAACAGAGCTGCTGTGTATGTGAGTGAATGTGAGCTCACATAAATGGCTGCATGTACAAATGAATCACATACTCAAACACACAGACATCACACTCACTTAGTAAGACATCATATTTTAAATGGTTCTTTTGGTGTCTTCTTGTTGTAAATCCATCAATAAGTAAGACATCTTTTGTGTTCTACATATTAGTGTCCTGATGTTCTTTAATCGATACTCAGCGTCCAGAGTACTGATTGTTGATTTAAAAATGTTATTGAAGCTGTCACCAGAGTCTCCGGACCACGGAGGAGAAAAGCTTTAGAATATTGATTTTATGATAAGTGACAATTGAAGTTAAAGTGATGAAAAAGTAAAGCTCATACTGAGTATATGTTTAGTTTAAGATATCAAGATTCAAAACAAACACACTGTGTGTGTGCGCACAGCTCCACAGCGCTCATAGTGGTCAAACCCAGCACTGCACAAATGTAGGGGTTAAAGTGGAAATTACTTTAATGATTAATTTTATTGTTGTGTGTATTTGTTGTGTTGTTCATAAAATCACATATATAACCGGTTTGATTCACGCACAACACAACACGTGTTTGTGTGTGTGTGTGTGTGTGTGTGTGTGTGTGTGTGTGTGTGTGTGTGTGTGTGTGTGTGTGTGTGTGTGTGTGTGTGTGTGTGTGTGTGCGCGCGTGTGTGTGCGCGTGTGTGTTTGTGTGTTCCATCCTCACACTCCAATGTTCAGAGTCGTAAATGTTCATCATGTGACCCTCTCACCTGTCCAGGTAACAATGCCACCTCCATAGTGAACTGTCTGCAGATCCTGGGTCAGAGTCTGGATGCCAGGTGGGGAAACACACACACACGCACACACACACACACACACACACACACACACACACACACACACACACACTCCGACATGAATGTGTGTGTCAGAGTGTGTGTGTGTGTGATATTAAAGGTAAAACATCTTTCGTCAGGTTAAAATCTTTCAATCTGAAGACTTGCAGAGTTTCTGATGATGTTATTTGTGACGTCATAAAGTTCAGTCTAGAGTCTGTGCAGGTTTCCTCGAGTCGCACATCAACAAGTTCAAGTTCAGCTTGATTTTCTATCTTAATATTAATTATATAAAGCCTTTTTAATCAATGATTTATGATGAATGATGTATATTTTGTCATGAATGAAATCAAATTAAACCTCTGTTATCATTTAGGACCGTGATGAAAACCGGTCTGGAGTCGGTGAAGGTGGCTCTGTGCTCGTTCTTCGTCAGTGCAGCCGAGGATCTGGAGCGGACTCAGGAGAACCTGAAGCTGGGTCAGTTCACTCACAGTCGGGATCAGCCTCGAGGAGTCACTCAGATCATAAACTACACCACGTTCGCCCTGCTGCCCGTCCTCTCCTCGCTGTTTGAACACGTGGGCCTGCATGGCTTCGGAGAGGACCTCATACGTACGTACTGGTCTCTACATGTGTGTCTGTGAGGACTGAGTCTGTATGCTCCTCGTTATATATATATATACATGTTGAAGTTCTGTTTCCTCCTCCAGTGGACGATGTTCAGGTCTCCTGCTACAGAATCTTAAACAGTCTCTACCTGCTGGGAACCAACAAGAGCATCTATGTGGAGAGGTAAAGATTGATAACATCTAATGAGATACATGAAAGATGATTCATTTAACATTCAATTCAATCTCTCCCTCTCCCCCTCTCTCTCTCCCTCTCGCTTTCTCTCTCTCCCCTCTCTCTCTCCCTCTCTCTCTCGCCCTGCAGACAGCGTCCGGCGTTGGGGAAATGTTTGGCAGCTTTCTCTGCAGCGTTTCCTGTCGCTTTCCTCGAGCCGCAAATCAACAAGTTCAATAGTTTCTCCATTTACAACAACAGAGCGCACAATGACACAACAGGTACACACTACAACGACACAACAGGTACACACTACATCGACACAACAGGTACACACTACATCGACACAACAGGTACACACTACAATGACAACAGGTACACACTACAATGACACAACAGGTACACACTACACCGACACAAAAGGTACACACTACACAGACACTCAGTGTCTATCTGAATGTGTATCTCAGTGTGTATCTGAGTTTATCTCAGTGTATATATCAGTGTGTATATCAGTGTGTATCTGAGTGTGTATCTGAGTGTGTATCTCAGTGTGTATCTGAGTGTGTATCTCAGTGTGTATCTCAGTGTGTATCTGAGTGTGTATATCAGTGTGTATATCAGTGTGTATATCAGTGTGTATCTCAGTGTGTATCTCAGTGTGTATCTCAGTGTGTATCTGAGTGTGTATCTGAGTGTGTATATCAGTGTGTATCTGAGTGTGTATCTCAGTGTGTATCTGAGTTTATCTGAGAGTGTATCTGAGTGTATATCAGTGTGTATATCAGTGTGTATCTGAGTGTGTATATCAGTGTGTATCTGAGTGTGTATATCAGTGTGTATCTGAGTGCGTATCTCAGTGTGTATCTGAGTGTGTGATAAACTCTCTGAGCTCTGTGCAGGTTACACTTTATTACATCATGCCCCCCTCCCTGTTGTAGCTCTGGGTCTACCTGAGCAGGTGGAGGATGTGTGTCCGCTGGTCCCTAACCTGGAGAAGTCTCTGGAGGAGATCTTGGAGCTGGCAGAGTCGGGCATGAGATATAACCAGATGCCTCATGTCATGGAGGTCAGATCATCTTATTAAACCTTATATTAAACATTTATTTAACAGAAAAAACATTACCTCCACCTGTTTTTATGCACACAGTGTTATGTCAGGTTTACCTGTACAGGTGTGTAATGTTGTGTTGTTCCTGTAGGTGGTGCTGCCCATGCTGTGCAGCTACATGTCTCACTGGTGGGAGCACGGAGCAGAGAGTCACCTGGACAGGCGTGACACATGCTGCACATCGGTCACCTCTGATCACATGAACTCCCTGCTGGGGAACATCCTGAAGATCATCTACAACAACTTGGGCGTCGACGAGGGCACATGGATGAAGAGGCTGGCTGGTAACCATGGCAACACACATCCCACACCAGCTTCATTGATCATCATTTTACAGTATGAGAGGAAAAAAGCCTTTCGTGTTTGTAGGAAAAGTCATCGTTGATTTTAATTCTTTAAGTCTCCTCCTCTTATCCTTGCTACTCCTCCTCCTGTCTCCTCCCATGTCTCCTCTCCTCCTCCTCTTCTTCCTCCTCCTCTGTGTCTCCTCCTCACCTCCTCACCTCCTCACCTCCTCACCTCCTCTTCTCCTCCTCCTCCATGTCTCGTCTTCTCCATGTCTCCTCTCCTCCTCTTCCTCGTCCTCCTTGTCCTTATCTCCTCTGCTCCTCCTCCTCATCTCCTCTCGTCTCGTCTCCTGCTCCTCCTCCTCGTCTCCTCCTCGTCTCGTCTCCTCCTCTCTCTTCTCCTCTCGTCTCCTCCTCCTCCTCGTCTCCTCATCTCCTCCTCCTTCTCTCTTCTCATCTCCTCTCCTCCTCCTCCCCTCTCCTGCTCCTCCTCTTCATCTCCTCCTCCTCTCCTCTCCTCCTCCTCTCGTCTCCTCCTCCTCCTCAGTATTCTCTCAGCCGATCATCAGTAAAGCTAAACCTGAGCTGTTAAAGACTCACTTCTTGCCTCTCATGGACAAACTGAAGAAGGTCAGTCTCTTTCTAGACATTTACATACCAACCTTACCTACCTTACATGTGAAGTACTCTGAAATACTGTGAGTTTCACATCATACAGCTGTAGAGAAAAGCTTATAAATGTGTGTTCAAATAAAGATTTATGTATTCATATTTGGACAGAAGGCGGCGGTGGTCCTGTTGGACGAGGAGCAGAGTCGGGCGGAGGGACGGGGGGAGATGTCTGAGACGGAGCTCCTCATCATGGATCAGTTCACTGTGCTAGTCAGAGACCTGTACGCCTTCTACCCCTTGCTCATACGATTCGTCGACTACAACAGGTACTCAGCTCTCTGATTGGACCATATAAACACTGACATCACAGAGTATGGAGTAATGTGTGGTGTTGTGGTGTCAGGGCTCGCTGGCTGAAGGAGTCCAGTCCAGAGGCCGAGGATCTGTTCCGTATGGTGGCCGAGGTTTTCATCTTCTGGGCCAAATCTCACGTATGTTCACTATTCACTTCAAAACTGTCTTCATTAAAAACACTGTTTATGTATTCATTTGTAAGCACAGTGTTTATGAATATTTATGGATATATTGATTCTCATAATAAAGCCTCCCCTGTGCTGCGTGTGTTCAGAACTTTAAGAGGGAGGAGCAGAACTTCGTGGTGCAGAACGAAATCAACAATATGTCGTTCCTCATCACAGACACTAAGTGTAAGATGTCAAAGGTCAGGGGTCATCTCATCTTTCTTTATATTTATATATTAACACAAATATCATAATATCATATTATCATAAAGGCAAGAACAGGTGAACCACACCTGTCCAGAGTTTAAAGACTCTCCTGATTCACTCCTGTGTCGTCTCAGGGCATCGTGTCGGACCAGGAGAGGAAGAAGATGAAGAGAAAGGGCGATCGATACTCCATGCAGACCAGTCTGATCGTGGCCACTCTGAAACGTCTGCTTCCTGTCGGTCTGAACACCTGTGCACCTGGAGAACACGAGCTCATCGCCCTCGCCAAGAACAGGTTCAACCAGGTGAGAAACGCCGAATATTAACCTGAACCTGAACCTGTAACCTGTAAGCATGATGTTTGATAACGTAATGTTTAATAACAAGATGTTTAATAACGTGATGTTTAGTAACATGTTTAATAAAGATGTTTAATAACAATGTTTAATAACAATGTTTAATAGCGTGATGTTTAATAGCGTGATGTTTAATAACGATGTTTAATAAAGATGTTTAATAACAATGTTTAATAGCGTGATGTTTAATAGCGTGATGTTTAATAGCGTGATGTTTAATAACGATGTTTAATAAAGATGTTTAATAACAATGTTTAATAACGATGTTTATAACATGTTTAATAACAGGTTTAATAACAATGTTTAATAGCGTGATGTTTAATAGTGTGATGCTTAATAACGATGTTTAATAACGCTATGGTTAATAACAATTTTTAATAACGATATGTATAACATGTATAACACAATGTTTAATAACGTGTGTGTGTGTGATGTTAACGTGTGTGTGATGTTAACGTGTGTGTGATGTTAACGTGTGTTTGTGATGTTAACGTGTGTGATGTTAACATGCGTGTGTGATGTTTAACGTGTGTGTGATGTTAACGTGTGTGTGATGTTTAACGTGTGTGATGTTAACATGGGTTTGATGTTAACGTGTGTTTGTGATATTAACGTGTGTGATGTTAACATGCGTGTGTGATGTTTAACGTGTGTGTGATGTTAACGTGTGTGTGATGTTTAACGTGTGTGATGTTAACATGGGTTTGATGTTAACGTGTGTGTGATGTTAACGTGTGTGTGATGTTAACGTGTGTGTGATGTTAACGTGTGTTTGTGATATTAATGTGTGTGATGTTAACATGGGTTTGATGTTAACGTGTGTGTGATGTTTGTGTTTGACAGAAAGACACAGAGGAGGAAGTCAGAGAGATCATCAAGAACAACCTCCATCTTCAGGGGAAGGTGACATATTGAATGAAACGATGTCATTACAGATCACATCATTACATTGTTAATACGTTTATATTTATGATATCTGTGTCCTTGAAAGCTGGAGGACCCGGCGATCCGCTGGCAGATGGCTCTGTACAGAGATCTACCAAACCACCCAGAGGACTCGTCTGATCCTGAGAGGACTGTGGACCGAGTGCTGGACATCGCTCATGTCCTCTTTCACCTGGACCAGGTGTGTAGTCTGAAGCTCACCTGTCTGAAGCGTACCTGTCTGAAGCTCTCCTGTCTGAAGCTCACCTGTCTGAAGCTCTTCTATCTGAAGCTCTTCTATCTGAAGCCCACCTGTTTGAAGCTCACCTGTCTGAAGCTCACCTTTCAGTTTTGACTACACTCCAACACTCAGCTCTTTTTTCTCACGGCGCCAACACAAAGTGAAAATAGTCTGAGAGAGTCTGAGAGAGTCTTGGTGTCAGGAAGCTGAGCCATGATATTTTAGTCTGTTAAGGTTTAAGTGGTCCACTTTGTCCTTACTGACTGTCACAGCATCACTCTGTGAGTCCAGATGTGACAGCTCCTCACAGATGACATTGGCAGCAAGTTTCTGACCTGTACAGGTGTAATAATACATACCTGTGTAAACAATCAGCTTCTGTAACTGAATCCTTGTTAGAACAGGATGACTGCATGTTCTCTCTGTCTCTGTGTGCAGGTTGAACACCCTCAGCGCAGTAAGAAGGCCGTGTGGCACAAACTTCTCTCCAAGCAGAGGAAGAGAGCCGTTGTGGCCTGTTTCAGGATGGCTCCTCTCTACAACCTGCCCAGGTGAGCCTGCATCATGAGACAGGATATATGCAGAGAGTGTGTGTGTGTGTGTTATAACAGTTAACGTCCCCCCTCAGGCACCGTGCCGTGAACCTGTTCCTGCAGGGCTATGAGAAGTCGTGGATCGAGGCTGAGGAGCATTACTTTGAGGACAAACTGATCGAGGACCTCGCTGTGAGTCTGGGTCAAAAGGAAGATACCATCTTCTTCTTCTGTGGTGTTAAAAGCTGCAGACTTATCCTGTCCGTATTTATTTGTTTATTTCAGAAACCAGGTGATCAGGAGATGTGTGAAGAGGAGGAGGGGCTAAAGAACATCGATCCTCTTCATCAGCTCATCCAGCTGTTCAGCAGGACGGCCCTGACCGAGAAGTGGTCAGTGTTCATCCCTGTAACTCACGCACGCACGCACGCACGCACGCACGCACGCACGCACGCACGCACGCACGCACGCACGCACGCACGCACACACACTGTGACAGTATAAAGTGTATTTATCAGACTTGGTCCAGAACATCATGTGGTCCATTATTCAGAATGATTCAAACAGAACCAGAGTCTCTCTCTCTACAGTCGGCTTCTCACAGAGCTGCAGGACAGGGACAGTGATTACAGACAGTCAGTGATACAAATAAAACTGTTCTTTAATGTTTCTGAAATGAAAATAAAAAGATTAAACACATGCTGGTGTGTGTGTGTGTGTGTGTGTGTGTGTGTGTGTGTGTGTGTGTGTGTGTGTGGTGTGTTGTGTGTGTGTGTGTGTGGTGTGTGTGTGTGTGTGTGTGTGTGTGTGTGGTGTGTGTGTGCGCAGTAAACTGGATGAAGATAACCTATACATGGCGTACGCTGACATCATGGCAAAGGTAATGAACACCTGAAACGACATTTCTATAACTTAGTTTACGTACACCTCATCATCTCTCTCTTTTACTCTCTCTCTTTATTAACTCTCTCTCTTTCTTGTCTCTCAGAGCTGTCATGATGAAGAGGACGAGGATGGAGAGGAAGTCAAGAGCTTTGAAGTAAGTCATCTGTCTGTATATAACCTGTCTGTCTCTCTGTATATTACCTGTCTGTCTCTCTGTATATAACCTGTCTATCTGTCTGTATATAACCTGTCTGTCTGTCTGTCTGTATGTATATAACCTGTCTGTCTGTCTGTCTGTCTGTCTGTCTGTCTGTATATAACACATCTCTCTATATATTACCTGTCTGTCTGTTTGTATATAACCTGTCTGTCTGTCTGTCTGTCTGTCTGTCTGTATATAACCTGTCTGTCTCTCTCTGTGTTGATCAGGAGAAGGAGATGGAGAAACAGAAGCTGTTGTATCAGCAGGCTCGTCTCCACGACAGAGGAGCAGCAGAGATGGTTCTTCAGACCATCAGCGCCAGCAAAGGTTCATGAAAGAGTTCAAGTGTGGATGTTAGAGCAGACTATAATCTGACACATGTTAAAGTGATACCTGCTGACAATACAAACTGAAACTCTGCTTTATTAATGTGTGTGTTACATGTGCACAGGTGAGATGGGTCTGATGGTGGCATCCACTCTGAAGCTGGGCATCGCCATCCTGAATGGAGGAAACTCGACGGTCCAACAGGTACCTCACTAATCCTGACTGAGAGTAAGAGATCACCTGTTTAGCTCTTTTGGAGACATTAGTATTTGGTTTGGTTACGTTTGGTTGACCACTAGGAGGAGCTGTGAACCCATTAACCTAATCTGTAAAAGTTCCCCAACAGTGGTTCAGAACGTTTCACAATGCCATTTTTCCTTTGGTTTATCTTCCAACTCCAGATTTCAAATCACCCTGCACTAAAAAGACTTTAGACTTTAGACTTTATTCTCTCTATTCTCTAAAGTCTAAAGTCTAAAAAGAGGGCTGAACAAAAGACTTCACAGCTGCTCATATGGCACCTGATTTAACCATAGAATGACAAAGAGGTCACAAGGTCACAAGGTCGTGGTCACTTGAACTCTACGCAGTGGTCAGTGACTACTACATATGGTTCACCTGACTATTACTTCAGATGGGTGTGTATATTTGGGGAATTGTCCAATAGTTTGAAGTTTTAATGGTGCACACGTCTTGAGACGTAATAAATGTACATGTTAAGATGTAATATTTTGACTAATTAAGACAAACAAATGTGATGTGTTGACATGAACGTTGGACTAAAAGTTGTGAACCCCTAACCCTAACCCACGATACATGTGGAGTGTGTTTGTTCCTCTTACACATGCCTGTGTCACGTTAATAATCATAAATTAATTAATACCAGTTATTATCTTACTGTGTAGATATTCATATTCAGGTTGTCATGATACCACAGTTGAAAAATTTGTCTTTGTTGACCTAAAGACAGGAAAACCCTAACCCACGCCCCTAACTATGAATAACATAAAGCCTGATTGATTTGAGTGGATTCGATGCAGAAGTATAAACCAGACTTTATCCTTCATCAAATCAAAACGGATGAGTCATCAAAACATCCCGTACAGTGTGTGCTGATTGAGACATGAGCTAATCAGACCTATTTGTTTTTTTTAACCAGGCTGTAAACATGTTAATCTGTGCTGTAAAGGCTTTTTTGAATGGGTGTGTATGTGACTTCCTGTGCTTCTACAGCTAGCCTCTAGTGGACACTCGAGGAACTGCAGGATTCTACACTGTCAGCAGAGTAGAATCCTGCTGCTTCCTTTTCGTTCCCTGCTTTGGTTAAACATCTGACTGAAGATCTGTAGCTTTTTGAACAACTCTCTTTATATGATAATGTTTCTCTGCTGCACTCCTGTCTTAAATCGGACTCCTCTGTGTTTTTGAAAGAAAATGTTGGACTATCTGAAGGATAAGAAGGATGTGGGTTTCTTCCAGAGTCTGGCTGGTCTCATGCAGTCCTGCAGGTACAAACACACAGCCTGATAATATCATGGATGTACTGACAGTGTGTGTATCCTGCAGACAGATCTGTTCTGACTCTGTTTCCCCTAAGAGCTTCACTGTTTGCTCAAATACACAAGACAAAGCTTAAAGTCAGTGTTTCTGATGAGTATGTTTCAGACTGTGTGTGCATGTGTTTCAGTGTTCTGGACCTGAATGCGTTTGAGCGTCAGAACAAAGCAGAAGGTCTGGGCATGGTGACCGAGGAGGGATCAGGTCAGTATGAGAACAACAACACTTAGTCAGTAAAAGGCTCCTGAAGATGAATGATTAGCTTCATAGTGCTACATAATAATGATTACTCAACATGCAAAGAGTGTTTCTCAGAGGTCTGCAGCACTGAGCTCTGCAGCACTGAGATGTCATATGAAAGAGAACATTTTCCAACTGGTTCATCGTTTTAGATCCAATGAAGCTTCAGTGTTTATCATCTCTCCATCCTGTCAGCAGTCTGAGGATTATCTCTATTTCATTTAGTCACACCTGTTAAAATCACAGTTACCTGTTCTGATGCACCACCTGTGATCTGATGAAGGACCTACAGGTGTGTGTGTGTGTGTGTGTGTGTGTGTGTGTGTGTGTGTGTGTGTGTGTGTGTGTGTGTGTGTGTGTGTGTGTGTGTGTGTGGTGTGTGTGTGTGTGTGTGTCATTATGGTACATAAAGTATCATCACGTCATAATAGGTGCAGTATTGAGATTAAGAGTCAGGTGAAGGAGCTGTTATTGTACTTAAGTCCCGCCTCTGATTATGCAAATAGCCAACCATAGATTTGGATTCTGGGGTGGCAGTCTGGACACGCCCCTGGTCTCAGGAGACATGATGTAAAAATAACGACGTAGAAGTAGCGAACAAAGCAGCAGAGTCCTCTATACGACTCCATAATGACAATATTTGTCTTTTTATCAATGCTACGTGTAGTTCAACAGAATCACAATCTGAACTAAAGAGTGGAGAAGAACATACTGGAGAACAGGAAACGTCATTCCGGGTGAGAGCGTCTTGGTTGTGTGCAGAGTGTGAGAGCAGACGAGGAGGAGAGGGTTAGGTTTGGACAAAGTGGGAGGAGCTTAGGTTGAGGTGTGGTCGTGCTCCTCGAACTCTATAAAGCAGGCAGACACTAACGCTGACTTTGAATGAATCTTTACTGCACCTATTGTTTCAATTCAGCCTCTCATAATCTCTTTGTTGCCTCAACAAGTCATGAATTCAAATAGGAGCTTTGAACTCAGCAGGTGAATGAAACAGTCCTGAGCCTTGGTGTCTGTTCTGTTTCTTACACCTCTCACCAGGTTTGACCGACCTGTGCAGCTCTTTCTGTCAACACAAACTTGATTTTCATGTTGACTACAGTGATAAGCTGCACATTTTGAACGTTCTCTTTTCCCTATGTGTAATCTTCAGTTTCTTTGTTTCTTACTTTCTTTCTCTCCTTCTTTCTCCCCCTGTTTTTCTTTTCTCATTTTGGTTTTCTGCACTTTCTTCCCCTCCTCAGTCATCACTCATGAGCGTGGTAATTATGCCTCCTGCCATTTTCCTGTGTGTTGGTTGAGCTCTTTCTGTTTCTCTCTGTTTCTCGGAGGTCGCTTAGTCGTTGTGTCAGTTCTGTCCAGTTCTGTCCAGTTCCTGAGTGTAGACCTCCAAACTTCCTCTATTTCCTGCTCTAAGCTCCTCCTCTGACCCCTCTTTGTTTAGAGTAATTTGTTCCCTTGGTTGTCTTTTATATGGTTTAGTGTCACGTCTCTCCACCACAATAAGAAACTAATAATGAGGATTAAATGAAGAAGTTTCAGGCAGATTTAGAGCTGCAGGGTGTCTGCCTCCCTCTCAGGATGTGTACAGGATCTGGCACAGTCCAAAATATCACTAATACGACTGTTTACCTCCCCCCCCTCCCCCCGTCACTCGTCTAGTCGACATGCAGTCAGCTGCTTGTTGTGCCTCAGTGATGGAGTTGGTTTTTGTGATGGATGTTCTCTGTTGTGAAGTCTCTTCACATCAACAGTCTGTCTTTTTCCTTTTCTTCTTCTTCTTCTTCTTTTTCTTCTTCTTTCTGCAGGCTGCAACGAACACAATAAAAACTAAACAAAAGGCTGTAAGATCAGAGCTTAGAGCAGATACTCATTCCATGCATTTTCAGATGAGTATCTGTGATGAGGTGACTGTGAGAGAGAGAGTTACCTCTGTCTCTGCAGGGTGTGTGCTTCTTGTAGTTGGAGGTTTTGGTTCTTCTTCATTCTAACTGTCAGCACCCTCCATGCTCTCATTGACATCTACAACCAACTGAACCAGCTGCTGACTTAGTAGTAGATAGTTTATGTGTCAAGAAAATATATTGTTTAAAAAGACATGACTTACCTTTTGAAACTCATGTATTTATATGACAGTATTTTCAAACCTACAACACTTCAAAGATCTTTCTCTTCACCCAGAGCAGAGCTGCTTTTGTCCCATTACAACCCTGAAGATAACATCAACATTATTAAAGATGATAACATTTTATTTACCTAAACCAAACAAATACGTCACCATGACCCAGAAAAACCATCACTTATGTCAGTTCAAACTTCATATCTGAACTTTCTTCTTAAACTGGAAAAGACATCCGGTCTGCTGGGTGGAAG